ATTAGACGGGGTTAGTTGCCGTCTCTAATCTGCCGTTAAGTCAAAACGGCGTCGTTTTAAAAAATTTAAAAATATTGCATCAAAGGGGAGTCGAACCGGTGACCAAAGGAACACTTGTTCCAAAACAGAACCACTAGGCCACTCACACTTTACTTAATATGAATGAAGAATAATAACTATTATTATAAAACCTCCAAATCATTTTCTCCAACCCTATATCCATAAATGATTTTATAAACTTTAAAATTTATAATAAATAATTAAAAAATCGTAAAAATATTAGTAAAAATATTAAAACTTATAATAATTATTAAGTTATTTATAAGTAGTATTAAAAATATTCAATAACGAAATTTTTTAACCATCAAGTATTATTGAATATCTAATTATTAATTATTAAGTATTTTTTAATTATTGAATAAAACTATTTAATTATTAAGTATTATTGAATAATTAATTGTTAAATAATAACGAAAATTTTCAATCATTAAGTATTATTGAATAACTTATTAATTATTGAATTAAATTATTTAGTTATTAGGTTATTTATAAATTTTATTAAGTTAGTCCCTAAATGATTCTATAAACATTAAAATTTATAAATACCTTAATAATTAAATAATTTAATTCAATAATTAATAAATTATTCAATAATACTTAATGATTGAAAATTTTCGTTATTATTTAATAATTAATTATTCAATAATACTTAATAATTAAATAATTTTATTCCATAATTAAAAAATACTTAATAATTAATAATTAGCTATTCAATAATACTTAATGATTAAAAAAATTCGTTATTTAATATTCTTAATACTACTTATAAATAACTTAATAATTATTATAAGTTTTAATATTTTTATGATTTTTTAATTATTTAATTATAAATTTTAATGTTTATAAAATCATTTAGGGATTTAGGATTGGAGAAAATGATTTGGTGGTTTTATAATAATATTTATTAGTATTCATTCATATTAAAAAAGTGTGAGTGGCCTAGGGGTTCATTTTCAATTTTTTTAAATGACGCCGTTTTGACTTAACGGTAGATTTGAGACGGCGACTAACCCCGTCTAATCAATCTGTTATCCGAATTAACGTCGTGTCTAATTTGGTTTAGTCAAATTAAATTGAGGTTTAAAATGGCTATTCAAACTAAGTTGGTGTTTTAAATGGTACAAGACAAAATTTATGTTTTTTTCAACCAAATTTGAAAGTTCGTGATTTAAATGACAATTTTCCCCTAATTTAAATGTCTCTGTCCACACAAATAATTATCTAGAGACTAACGAAAGTAATTAATAATTATGCTGTCCCCAAATGAAAGCAGAAAGTAAAAAAAGATGTAAGAGGAAAAAGAAAAAGAGAAAAGGATTAAAATATTACTAATTTTTTTTTTGTCAAAAATATAGCACTTAAAAGTAAAAACAACCCAAAAAACACTTAATATTTTATCAAAAAAGATAAATATACACCTATATCCTAATGATAAATTAGTTTAGACATTAGGGTTTAGGTTTAAAGGGTGAGATTTAAGGTTTAGGGTTAAGAGTTTAGGTTTTAAGGTATAGAATTTAGGTTTTAAGGTTTAGAGTTGGAGAGTAGGGTTTTGGGGATAAGATTTCAATTTATGAAAAATTAAAAATTTCAAAAGATAAAATGCTATTTTGGTAATTTTAGTTTTTGAAGACTATTTTTTTGACATAAACTTAGAAATATGCTATTTTGGAGATTTGTCCAAAGAAAAAATTAGTAACTATATTTCTCCTATAAATCTATATATTTTTCATTATTTTATTAATTCTAACTTTTTTTTTTGTTTTATCATCAATGGTTCTTTTAGCATTACCAGTTAGAGCCATAGTTAACCACAACCAAACCAAACCAAATAGACACACACAATTGGGAAAAGGAGATAAAACACATTCAGTTGGGGAAAAAAATTGCATACAGTTACACCAGATACGTTCGGAGATCAAACCGAAGTTCACGAGAGGAGTTTCTTTGATTTTATATGCTTATACAAAATCAAATTAAACCACCAAACCAGGCCACTGCTTCGGTTTGGTATTATCATAAAGTTCTTAAAATCTTATTTTACTTGCGCAGCAAGTATGATGCTTCTTCCTGGATAACCTTCCATGCCTCCTTCACGTGCTTCTTCTCCGTCAATGGCGCTCCTATGGCGCAACGTAGTACGATTTTTCCTGACAAGGCCTGCTTGCCACAGAAAACCAATACATTTATCTTAGTCTAATTAAGAACATAATCGAACAAGAAGAACAAAGACAGAGAGATGTCAGTATATATGATCTACCGTGTGAGAAATGAAGAGTTTTCCTGAAGAGTTCACTGCCTCTAGGAGGTTGCGGTTTCTTTTGTTGCATGTCTTTTCATCGTTATCCACAGGTACTAGACGGAAACAGACCAGAGAAAATATCCTAGGAGTGACAACCTGTCACAAAAAAAAAAAAAACAGAAGTAATCTTGTCAAATAATCTTGTTCCACAAAGTTCTGACCGTTAATTTTACAGTTACCTCAAAGCTAGGATCTTTGGAGACAAGTTGTTCGAAATCTTTAGCTAGCTTAATATGGTTTCTTATGTAGCTCTTCAAGTTCTCAGCTCCATAGAGCCTTAAAACCATCCATACTTTTAATGACCTGTTAAAACACACAATCTCAGAATATTTGTATATATGCAGGTGTACTTTCGAAAACAAAGAACCTGAATCTTCGTCCGAGAGGGATCTGCCAGTCTTTGTAATCAACAACCAAGTTTGCCTGAGAGGCCTGCCAAAATCAAAAAGTGGATATTTATAGATTTGAACAGAAATATTTTTATAAAGAACTTTCTTACATTGTTTTTGAGATACTCTGGATTTGTTGAAAGAGCTTCAGTGAGAGCGCTCTGATCCTGTTTATCAAACATCAACATTCTGTGAAAACTTGAAGAGAAAGTAACGAGAAAGTGAGACTGAAAGAAGGGTATATGACATGTGTACCTTCACCCAAAGTAGGGAACAATCGAAATTAGTGAGGAACCATTTGTGAGCATTCATATTAAAAGAGTCTGCTGTTTCTACTCCGTCTATGTACTGTCTATACTCTGGACATATACAAGCACTTCCAGCATACGCTGCATCCACGTGAAACCACATCCCATTGCTCTGAGAATGCAGTCAATAGAAATAGCATCAGTTTTATATGCTATCAAGCTCTCTCTCAAATGTGAAATAAATAACCTTTGCAATCTTTCCCAGTGCTGCTAGTGGATCAACTGCTGTTGAAGATGTGGTTCCAACCTGCAAATAATATACTAACCTTTCAGAAAAATCATACTTCAGAGTAGGGCTTTGGCACATTTACCCGGAACCGAAAAACAAAACCGTACCAAACCAAAAAACCCGAAATCGAACAAAATTTATAATATCCGAGCAGATGATATATATAGAGAATAATCGCCAGAACCAAAGCAGAACATGACTTAGAACCGAATGGGCACATAAAATTTTAAAATATAGATTATATATATCTAAAAATATTAATAATTTAATTTTGAAATAACCAAATATCTTAACAATACTGTTTATAAACCAAATTATCTGAAAATCGGAACTATTCGAGTGTTCTCTTATCCAATATATTCCAATGTATCCAAATTATCTGATATTTTATCCAAATTAAATTTTTCAAAAAATGAAATTATCCAAAATTTACCAAAATAACTGAAATTATCTGAAAATTTTGAAACTGAACCGAAACCAAATTTGATCCAAAATCTTCTCAGGGTATTCTACAGTTCTCAGTATTATTATCCAAACCGAAAAAATAACAAAAATAAAACTAAACTAAATTTCAAAGACTCCTAGACAAATATTTCTAGAAACGAAAAATCGAATTAACCGAACCGAACCGAACCAGACCTACTTCAAAGGTAAGTAAGAAAAATGTTGGCTAGTGCTTACATTTCCACATAAGAAGAATGGAATCAATCCAGCTTCAAGATCATGAGAAACAGCTTCTTGAAGTGATTCTGGACGCATAGAATAATTAGTAGAGGAATCTACCATTAGAACCTTGCAATTCTCTGGATGGATTCCTGCTATCTGTCAAGAACAAAACCAGCATAAACATATTTCACTTCTTTTAATTTTCTATTAGGCCTAGGCATTTCAGGTATCGGTTCGGTTCAGGTATTTTGGGTATCTGATAGTTGGAATAGGGGGTAAGAGGATCCATTCGCTATTTGGTCTATTTTTGGTTCGATTCGGATAGTTTCGGGTTCAGTTCAGTTCAGATAATAAAACTAGGAACCAGAAAATATCCGAAAAAATTGGTTACGATTTGGTTCATGTTCGGTTATTCCGGGTAGTTCAAGTAATTCAGGTTAAATATCTGGTATTTTGGATAAAATATTGAATATTTGGATAAAAATATCTGATATTTTGGATAAAAATATCCGGATACTTTCGAGTAGTTCGGATACTTTATAATAATTTAGTTTTTTCAACTATTTTTGGATACTTTTAACATATATTTAAATTATAAATATATATTTAGTTATGTTATATGTATATAATTAATATTTTATATTCTGGGTATCCGTTCGGTTCTTGGTTGAATTTTGGTTCGATTTTTTTGATATAGAAATATAGAAACCATTCGGGTATTTGAAGGTTTCGGCCCGATTCTGATTTCAGGTATTTTGGTTCGGTTCCGTTTTTTTTTTGCCTTGGCCTACTTTTTATGATCAAATCTGCAATTTTACCTGGCAAGCCTTCTGTAAAGATGAATGTGTCTGGTCAGAGGAGTAGACAACAAGCTTCTCAAGGGCCTTCTTGCCAACGTTTTTTAAGACCTTATCGCGGGCAGCAATCATAACAACAAGAATAGCTTCACTGGCTGACCCTTGGATTACTCCACCTCCAGTTCCTACAATAACAAGTTAGCTAAGCAAAAGAATTAATCTTACAAGATTTATGTCGAAAACTATAACCTTTGGAGAGAAACTGCTCTGGCAGGTTGAGCAGTTTTGCAAGCCAATCAAGAACGATCATTTCGAGCTCAGTGGCAGCTGGAGAAGATACCCAACTAAAACCAACAATTCCAAGACCAGCACTCAACATCTCACCCAAGAACCCTGCAACGCTGCTGTTAGCAGGGTAATAAGCAAAGAAGGTGGGACTTTGCCAATGCGTTACTCCAGGCAATATCTTCTCCTTAACATCTGCAAAACAAAACTCACATCAGATCTCTCTATGCTCAACCAGAAATGGTCTAAAAAAACAGGAAGTGGGTTCTTCAGTTAATTCACCATCAAGAACTTGTTCCAGCGTTTCAGGTTGGTCTGGTGCTGACTCAGGCAAAAGATTATGAAGATAACCAGGCTGTGAATAAGACCAGACAGATTCAAAAGAAAAGCTAAAGCAAAATGTTATACCAGTTTTGATTAAACCCTTGACATAGGAAAAATATAGAAAATATCACAACATTAAACAGATTAAAAACACGTACGCATCAGAGTAATGTTCCCACCTGAACTTGGCTAAGGACAGGGAAAGTTTCAATGGTTTTATAATAATCGGCAATGAAATCAACCATTCGATGTCCGTACTCTCTCAGTTGCTCAGAGTTCATCGGCTCCAACACGTTTCTACTACCATTTTCCCTGTTTCATGAGTGGGAAAACAATGTAAAAAAAAAAAAACCACTCATACAAATTACAGATATTTCCGAGAATTACTCAACAACATACATTTTTGTTGTTCAAGTCGTGTTTATGTCTCCGAAGAAAGGTTTGGGTTTCAGCCGGCGTAGATGTCTCTTATTTATAGACAATATTTTTCGTTTTTTTCGTCTTTTCAGTTAACTATTTTTTTTACAATTTAAAACAGAAAAATAAAATTCCACATTTATACATATATTTTGATGTATCTTTAACTACAACATGATCACACATTTAGACTATTCTAAAATGTTTTTTTTTCTTTTATTGTATTAACTAACATGTTAATTCGCCAAAGAAGATTAACATGTTTTTTATTGAAAAAAAGTGGATTCCATAATCTAATCTATTAAAATAGAAATAGAAAACTAATATACTTCATGTATTTATTATACAATTTACCACTGAAAATTACACTATTCATAGGATCGTCATTGATGGTATAATTGCTTTCTACAACCCTAATATTGGACCTGGGCATCGGATATTTGGTTCGGTTCCGGATAGGAACCATTCGCTTCCGGGTATATCAGACAAATCATTCTTATTCTTAATAGGTACTTACGAGATTTCAGTTCGGTTTCGGTTCGGTTCCGGGTACCCGTTTAATATATAAATCAAATATATATATACACATTGTATTAGTTAATATGTTAATTTAAATGGTTTAGTGTTTACACGCTTATATATTCGTCAATCCAACAAGAGTTTGAATCAATAAAGTGTTAATTTTATAAATATTTATCGTATTTTAATACAAAAATACTATATATATTTATAATATAAGAGAATAAATAAAACATAATGTGGTCTGCTGGTAAAAAATGTACTTACTCTTTGTAGCTAACCTGGGTTTAAGTAGGCTTGATGTAATTTTATCTTATTTTTTTAAAAAATTAACTTGTTTTTCCGGATATTCGGGTATTCGTTCGGTTCTCGGTTCAATTTCGGTTCCGGTTTGGGTTTTCAGGTATAAGAATATAGGAACCATTTGGATATTTAAGAATTTCGGTCCGGTTTCAGTTTCGGGTACTTCGATTCGATTCCAGTTCAGATTTTCGGTTCCGGTTTTTTTTTCCAGAGCAACCTTATATCACACAAAACTAAGTATTCATTATTACGAAACTAACCAACTTGCCTTATATATTAAAAGAGAAGAAACACCATAACATTTTATCTATAATATGGGTTATTGTTATAATGCTTTTCAAAATTCTTAGAAAAATATATTAGTCCATCAAATATATATTATATTTTTATTAAAAAATTAACTAATAAGGTATAATTAATATTTTTCATATATTCGTTAAATACGAGATTACCTTACATGATTAAATTAAATATATATAAATTAATGAATTTAATAATAAAATTTGATAACAAATTGTGCATCCTTCATCCTTTATGTTTAGTTTTATATTAAAAACATAAACTAAACAATCATATAACCAAATAATAAAAATTTACATTTTCGTATATGTTATATTTTGAAATTTTCAAACCTCACAATTAAAAATTGTGATCAAATGTTTTAACTTTATTATTATAGAAATATATAATGATCATAAAACACACAAATATTTTCACTGAACAAAATTTGAGAACTTAAAATTTTAATTTCAAAATTTTCATTGAATTTTTAAGAACGATTATAAATTATTAAAACTATTAAAAATTTCAAATTGAAAATTTTGTTATAACTAGTTTACAATTTCTAAATAAAAATACAGACAAACATAAAATGATATGATTAATAAGTTTCATTTTGTTAGATATTCATACTAAAATATTATATATATATATATATATATATATATATATATATATATATATTTGTGAATATCATTTAAATTTAATTATATACGTACAAATATCTAAAAACAGTTGTTTATATTAATTTATATCTGTACAAATTTAAATTTAATTATATTCGTATATATATATGTGTGTTAATATCATTTGAATTTAGTTTTTCTGATGGGTTTTCAAAGATCGATGGGGAAGACTTAAATAAGCTCAATTTGACCAATTTTTCTAATAAAGTTTTCTCTTTTCACATTGATTACATAAAATAGACTAATTATTATTCAGATAGTAGCTTTCAAGGAGGACTAAAGCATCGCCGTAGATTACAAAGAATCTACGATGAGAGATTTTCCGGCGAGAAATGATAAATTAACAGGAAACCCAGTTCTGGAAATTACAAGAGGGACGACTTTTGTTATAATAATAAAAAAGAGAACACGAGTTGACAGACTATATTCAAGTTTTCGAAATTTACATCACTAATTGAAACAAAACATTCATTTGCACCTATCCGTATACATACATTATATTATCATATGTTTAAAGAAAAAAGAAAAACACACTGATAAAATATTTAATCATATGTTTAAAGAAAATCTTAGACATCATTCACGGAACATGCATATTTGACTATAATAGAAGAGGAAACTCTCATTCATTAATTGTAACTGAATCTGTTACATTCTCTCTTTTATATGAAGAAAAGAGTGACGTTGGTTTACATAACCGAAATGAAATAAAGAAATAGACTCGGTTTATAGTAAATCGGACTACACATCTTTTAACAGTCTAATAGACTACTTTACTATGACGTTTTTATTTTTGAAATTAGGGTAGGTTTGCGCTACGTGCGGAATTTGATAATAGTATGACTCTATTATATATTTTCTTTACATGTGTTTTATGTTAAGTGTTGCAAGAATGGTGCATAATAAATTTGATGTTTTTACGTATGTTTGTGCATGGATGGTTTATTAATGTTTGGTTTATTAAGTTAGATTTGTTGGCTGTGTTCTTACTAAGAGTTTGGTGCATATATATTGAGGTTAGCCTGGTTTTTTGATTGGATGTTATTGGCAATCCGAATACATATTGTTGGGGCTTAAAAAATGAGGTTTATGGGCTATATGAATATCATATGTTGTTACCAAAAAACTTATAAACTTAGTTTATTCTTTTACCAGTATAATACTTTTCTAATGCTTAATGTTTTGTTTCTAGGAGACTTTTGATTGTAATTTATGTTCAATCAGATATGTTGTTAGCTTTTAATAATTTTGTTGGGTCTATAACAATTTCAGTCACTATATATGTATTATGAGCTGGTGATTAGCTATAATTTTTCTGATTTCTTTGTGTTGTTTGAACTTCAGATTGGTAGTTTATGCAATATTGAATCTGAATTTTTCAAATGCTTTCGTGTATTAATATGCACTATGAGTTTCATTCAAGAATTTTTTTATTTTGAGACATGAATCTTATTGTAGTGATCATACTACAAAAATTCAGAGCATGATAAATACAATGGAATCTGAACGTACCAAATTTGGAGGTAAATTGGTTTATAAGTCAGAGAGGCCTTTGACCAAAAAAAAAAAACGTTAGAGAGGCTAATTTCTTCTCTTTCTTTTACTCCACTTTGGATCATCTTGTGGTCAATGTACTAGTAATTGTGTAAGTGCAGGTCCAAGGGAGTTGTGTGATGCCGTGGATCTTATATCACAATATAAACTATTGCAACACAATGAATTCTTTGGCATGAAATCATTTAATGTGGTTGGGGACACAAGAGTAGAAAGAGAGATTTGAATACATAGTTTAGACATTAATATATTTTGACCACAGAAGATATTAATATGTATTTTTGTAAATTTAATAAAACAAATATTTTCAAAACAATAAATGTATATTAATTTTATGTTTAATTCCTACATCTTTTATTATGATGTTAAAATAAATGAAACTGCAAGTTAACTTAAATGAAAACCATATTAATCTTTACATAAAAATATTTTGTAACCTTGCGTATTAGTTTTTTTTGTTTTATTAAGACTTTACAATAATTGATCTTATATTTTGGAAGTGATTAACAAAAACATAAACATATCAAATTACCAACATTAAAACAGTGTCACATATAAAATTTATTTATAAGTTATCTACATTTTCTAAAAGGTTCTTTTTATTATAAAGCATCTTAGTTTTAAAATAAATGTGAAACAAACTTAATAGATGTCATATCACATTTGTCTATATATAATTATACATAAATTTGTGAATTAAATTATATAAATGTTAATCAAATTATTTCTATATTTTTTCATTAAGATAAAATAATCTTAATAGAGAGAAAACATAATTACCATACATTACATAATTTCTACAATGACAGATTTCATAAAAAAATATGAAATTTTTTCCTGACACAGGATTTATCAAACTTTATACGCTGATCAGACGCCTTTCCATACATTTTGACAACTTTCCTTACTTCAGCACATTCACGGGGTCCGTCTTATAAAAGAAAAGGCTATCATAAGCACATAACAAGTGGGACACCGAGGGGCTAGCACGTGCGACGCGCATCCCGATTCCTTTCTTGATTCTCTGCATCATTAAGAAGATTAACGAGTGATTTTGTGCATAAGATAAAAATGTAACGAGAGAAAAGATTCTCTTGGGCCAATCCTCTGTGT